AGTGTGTTTCACGCCCGTTTCGCACCCGACACCGGAGATCCACACCCCATTACCCGAAGTCAATAGGGTCGAACCTTCGACCCTCGGTGAATTGAACCGGTACCATTGGGTATCCCGAGAACCGATGCCTCGGACCTAGATGACCGGACTTCCAGTGGACTGGAGCCCCCGTGAAGCGGACGAGCTCTAGTCGGAATAAGCACCCGGCCCAAAGCCCCGGACCAAAGACTTTGAGTTTACTAATCTCGAAATGATGTTCTCATTTTGTTGATCTTTTTTTTAACCTGCTCACCAGGAATTGTGATGTTATTTTACTAGAGAGAGACAGATGGAATAATACTTCATTTTTTTTTACTTTTTTTTTCGCCGTTACGGACTCGACCAACAGATGCCTACACCGGTCCAACAATACCACCGACCGACCTTCGGATTTCGGCCGTGAGTTGTATCGCCACCACGGGTCCGGAGGAGAACGCGGCGCGAGATACCCCCATCATCGGATACTTCCGAGGCGCAGCCACCGACCCCAATAGGGTCGTGTGCGGAGCGGGCCCTGAGCGGTATAGAGGCCGGTCCTTCGCAGGGGCTCGGACTCCGCCCAGAGGTATGTTGGGCTAGTCGCTATGGCAGCCTACGAGCAGGCAGCCAGCGACAGTCCCGCTTCCGGTGTGCTGACTCACACCGAGTCGCACTCGCTGTCGAGCGCTAGATCGGCCTCGACTCAGGCAGCTTTCCGCCCAGCTCATGTCTCGGCCAATCATCGGCCTCGATGTAGGCGGAGCCACGCCCCACTTCTCCATCTCGGCCTATCAGCGTTCGTTCGCTCGTGTTGGATCTGCCCAGTGTGCCGCATAGGCTTTTCCCATGCTTTGGCTCGATCTGCCGTTCACTTTGTTCACTAGCATTATCATTCACTGTACTTTCACGATACTGCTCGCACCTCGAGCCTTTGTGTTTTGGTTCCTCACTTTATTGCTATCACAATAAAGCCTTCTCTCACTATCGTGAGCCTTTGTTCGCCTGCTGTCACAGTTTTACATTAAATATTAATTTTTTCTCTCCTTTCAAATTTTTAAACGGCGAAAATGCTAGCTCGAGTTGATACACGCTCATGCATCGTCATCGTAAAAAACTGAAAATAAGGTATCAGTCGCCGCACATTCCAGTCACCCATTGTGCGCGTTTGCTTGCGCACGTCCGTACGGTACGAGTATATTGCGAAGAAAATAGCGCTGGATATTTTCTGAAGTTATATTATATTATGTAATAATAATATAGCTTCTCAAGCTATGGATCCATGTCGTGTGATATTGTAACTTGTAAGGTTGTAACTGAGGACAGACAGAAATTTAACTGATAATAGAGAGAAATGTAAGTTGTAAACTCAGGAGAGACAGAAACTGTAATATAGGATAGACAGAGATGCAGAGGCAGAGGAGGAGCATGTTATGTGAGCAGTGAAAGAATGCACTGAATGTCGTTGTCAGTTGATCCAAAGTTTCAGGCACCAGTTTTTCGTTTCTTTTATCCATGAAACTTCCAACCAACATCTCAGAAGATAGAAAAAAAAAATTTAGAAGCTTGTTGATTTCTGATAAGTGGTTGTTTGTGGCGAACCAAGAAAGTTATGCTTGTTTTGGCTTCTCGTAGACAAAGCATAGGGTGCAAGCAACGCCTCCATCGCACGGACCCATGCAATGTCTATGAGAAACCGAAACAAACATAAATTTCTTGGTTCGCTATAAAAACCTACTCCCAAGATATCAAAAAAATTCTGAAATTTTGTTTTCTGTTCTGAAACATTGACTGGGAAGTTTCGTTAAGGAGACATAGAAAAACGAAAAACGGTGAAGATCAAGTGGCTGCCGCGACTTGGAATTTGCTAACCAGAGTAATACATGTATGCGCGTACGCGACGTGGCTGCCGCAGACCAGCTCGCTCTAACCGAACAGCCATGCACTCAAGCAAACTTCCCAGTAAACAAATTCTACAACAAAATGTTTTTGCAGTTTGAGTTACTATGTAATCAAACCGTCCATTTTCTTCGCAAGTGTCCCGACGTTTACGAGGGTCGCCACGCTAGTGTTTTTTACAATGCGATGCCGCCGTTGCGGGACTTGGGACCGTATTAATAGAACCCTATTAAATAATATGGATAAACTTCTATAAATAGTATACACGGACAAAGCCTCTATAAATCTTGGTACGTGTTCCTTAAATGATTAGATTTCTCTTCGTTTTTGCATTCTTAATAATTGGTATGAAATCTGCCTCTAATCAGTAATTATGCTAAAGGCCCATTATGCATCATTAGGCATCTGCATGTACGTATACTGTTTAATTATATGTATATACTGTATATATGGGCAGCATTTTATAAATATTATAAAGATATTTTTCACCTTCACAGACCTAGAGAGAAATCTACGTAGATTTAATTTACAGATCAATGGCCTTGTATCTGTAAATTAAGCCATTCCCAATCCTGGTAAGCACAAACCGAAACGTCCGCTTTTATATGTAGTACTTACTGCTAAATTCTAGAACAACTGCATGTTTCGATATTCTAAACTTGTGATAAATGCAGAAATAAATTATTTCAAAAGCCCAAATACCTGGTATACCGGCGGTATGTTGAACGCATCTAATTAAATACAGTTCGATATACATAAAAATCTTACTTAACATAAATTATGTACCTAAGCTACATGTATACTTATAAATGTACGCTGATGAATTTTGGCTCCACGTTAGTCGCAGTAGACGCACTGTTAACGAGACTGTTTCTAATCAGGAGAGAAAGGTCGCCAGTTTTCGTACATGCCTGCCAGTTCAAAAAATTAATTTTGACATGGATGACTCGACGGGATTTAAGCGCATGACTACGTAATGTCATATAAAACTGGCAATACATGAAAACTGCATATGGCAATGCAGAACATACCCCGTAACGGTAAATCAAGAACGCGCTGTCCGAAGCGCCGTAATTTTGCAGCTGGCATCAACAGCATAAATTTGTAATAAAATGCGGCTGCACTGTTCAGACGATTTCAAAATCTTTGCTTAAAAGACGCAATGACACAGCCTGATGCTCCCGGTTGTTATCCCAATAAATTAAATAGTTCCATATGAGCTGTCGCCGATAATTATTTATATGGAAACGTATAACCAGTGAAACCAAGATTTAGTGGTGCAGCGCGGTATGAAGCTTGCAATCGACTGAAATATCAAGTTTTGAGTGAATTTGCGTCGCACTGACAACTTTTGCCACGCAATAGAACTGTATGGCGCATTCAGCCGTTGCGGCGCGACTCCGTGTGAAATCCTGATAAGAGACTTTTTTGATAAAGTAATAATCTCATATACGCGTCCGTGCGTGGGAGCCCAGATATTAACTGTTTAATGTCAATTAACGTTTCGCGATCTCTGGACCAGTAGTTTGCCGTAATTGAGGTTGGTCCAGCGGAGGTGGTAACTGCAGCCCAATGTCCAACTTGGCACCGGAAACCAAGCTGGTCGGACTACCGCTTGTGAACCGTCCGCGACCAAACCCCTTTTATTGATAAACCCGATAAATGATAAGCGATAAACAGAATATGATACACATAGAAGGGTGTGGAGGGCGGGTTCCGCTTTTCGACGGCAAACTTTATACACATTTTTCGAAAACCAAAAATATACAAATACTGTTGTGCATGCCACGTCCACCGGAGTTTATGCATAGAAACGTAATAAACCTCCGATCACACGTTAACGACAGTTATGGCTGTACAATAGCTGCCATTGACCATATGATTAATGAACAGAAATATGAAAAATAAAATAAACAAAGTCTGTTTTCAGCAGTTATCAGAAGCACAATAGACAGGTTAATTTTTTCTTTTGGCTGATCGCTGAACGCTGTTAAAATTACAGTTGCGCAAAATTAAAAGCAAATGCGATGGTAGTTAAGTGTGCATCCGTCGCATCGCGCTTAGCGGATACCGAGCACGTACGTACGTGCACCTCAACTCAACCCGGATATGCAGTGCTTTGCTAAGCGCGCAGGCCTTACGGTAACTTCGCAAGTTATCGTCGTGGCTGAAGCGGTCTTGCGCTAAACGTCACGAATTTGGGGAGGAGCCACAAATAACAGCAGTAAAACTTTAGAGCTAGTGAAAAATTAACCTCTATAATAACTCAAGTAAGAATTAACTGATCATATCTACGCACTTAACATACATCTAATACAAATGTTATTGGGTAATCGCCTTATTGCTACCATACCGTACCATTTTTTGCTGCTTGATGAGCAATGTTGGAAGCATGAAAAGCAGAGAAAACCACTATCTATTTATACCATATAATGTACAGATACTGACAAAAATGAGCTTTAGTCTTGTGCAGACGGGCCTGGCAAATTCCCTGTACGACACTTGCGCGGCTGATATTTCAGAGTCAGATTTTACATAGGCGTATGTAGTGCTACAAGCCTTTTGCGCTCCTGTTGCGTTTTCTGGACCCATTGTACCTGCTCACTTCATACCAAAATGTAGAAAATTAATTTCTCTACAATTTGGTATTCAAAGTTTCTAAGAAAAGCTGAAGCAAGCGTTTCAAGGAGAGCTTTACCAAAAAGATCCAAATCCCAAATCTTCTATTATATTGCCACCACCCTCGTTTGGCAGTACGATGCAGCAGAGCAAAACAAGCCTATTTTCTTCAAACGCATTCTAAAATTGTTCCATCAGGTTAGACTTAACTCATTACATACCAGAATGTAGAGAAATTAATTCTCTACATTCTACTCTATCTCTGACAGTCATAAACTCTTCGCAACGCGGTATAACAAACCAAAAATTAACTCCGCATTGAAGCCCATGCATTTAATGACTCTGAAATATTGTGTGCACATGTGCACTGCTGTGCCCGTATGCACAAGTCTGAACTTCATTGACATAAACGAAGTATTACAGTACATCAGCGGTGTTCTTTACATGCTGTAAGCATACTGTTACTGTAGGAGTTAAGCGTGTTTGGACGTTTATGGCGGACTCATCTAAACTTTTTGGAATTCTGGTTCACCCATAATTTTGCAACCGAATTGCGCGCGCAAACAAACTACGTAAGCAGGTCCTTTGGCTACAAAATAACATAAAGCAACGCAAAAGTGTCCGGGAGTGTGTGAGACCGAAAGTTCCCATGGTTGTACACGAATTTGGTGCTATGTACCGGACCAAATCGCTGGCTGCCCGTCACAAATGTATACGGCAAGACACCACGCTCCAATGCACACTGCAACTTACCATGGTTAGAAGACTTAGAAGTATTAAACTCGTCCGCTGCAGTTCTAAGTTAGAACTGCAGCGGACGAGTTTAATACTAGTACTGGCCACAACAAAGTTACTGTTCAGTCTCCAGTCACGATGCAACTGCACATGTTATGGAATTTGCTTTGCAGGTGAAAGTCCAGTACGATGACCCCATTGACTGCGGAAAGCCTGCGGCGCCCGCGGTGCGTGCGTAAATGCTGTTAACCAGCCAACTAAAAGTCCACCATAATCAATCAATCAATCAATCCAATCTTTTCCATCAGAATCTACATCATTTCTGCTTCCCTTATGTTAAGTTGAACTTTCAGATTTTTGAACAAAAAATGACTTTATCCGTAAAATGGAAAACTAATCTATTATTCCAAATTGCATAAATGAACTGATTTTGTAATAAACAGCTTTTGTAAAAACTGCTCGCAGTATTCAGTTTTGCTGCTGTTGCAGCGGGGATTATGCACCTTTTTGTTACGACAAACACCTTTAATAAATGAAATGGCTGCTGTCGATTTCTAGCAAAAAAATTTCCGCGGACATATTGGACGCTTTTATGGGACGCTTTTTACGTTTACTTTTGTTAATTTGCTTTTGACACTTCATATCTCCATGTCGGTATAAAGTATATGAAAAAAAGCATTGACATTTAGCTAATTTATGTATTCTGCTGAAAGACGCAGTATATTGCGTAGATTAGTTCAAAAATTGATAAGCCATAAATCTTTTTCTGCGTCGTACAAATTCAAACCATTGTTACACTTAAAGATTGCACACAAAACACTTTCGTCCACAAACTTTTCCCCATGCTGCGTATCGGCATAATCATAATAATTATCTTTAATAGTTATAACGGTAGACAACATTCGTTGAGTCTTCAATAACTTTTGAACGGCTCAACAGAATTTGATGGTTTAAGAGTCAAAATGTAGACAACGGCAAAACGACGGTAATTTTGTTCGTTCATTTTTATCCAGGAAGAGTTTAAAAGACAAATTTAAACAGAATGTGAGATAGGAAAGCAGAGAGAGATGCCTGCGCAAAAGCTGGAGGCAAAGCAAGAGAGAGTTTATCATACAGCACTGCAGAGAGAGTGTGGAAACGTATCAGACAAAAGATGCTCTTCCTCATCTGTACAGAGTGCTTACGTAGTGCTCTGCCGGTCGGCTGCCATAGCACAAATTCCTGCTGTTCGGCTGCCTGAGTGCAGATTTCACGAAAATTCAGAAATTGCACAACTTTTGCAAAAAGTACGGTTAAAAAGAGTCATGCGCGTGCGGTTTGCCGTACCAGCGATGCCATGTGCAGGTTTTTTGAATAATCATTGTGATGTACGCATCTGCCTATATTGGGTGATATATATTTATATAGGCAGATGCGTACTTTGTAAAAAAAGAAAATATTGGTGATATATTGGGCTGGGCGATATATAGATATAAATTTATATCTATATACAAAAACATATTACACTTCTAGTGCAGGCAAAAACACTACATTAGATTTTCACCTGTCAGATACACTAACTCTGACATAATATTGACGGTCAAGGGAAACATTACGTGGCTTACATCAGCAACAACAAATTCGACATGGTTCTTGTGTTTCGTAGCGATGCTGCTATGACCGGGAGAGGAATGGACATCCACGATGACGACGCGTGCTCCCTGATCGGCTAGCCGGGCGGCGCAAGCCTGTCCAATTCCCGATGGACCTCCCGTTACCAGAGCGATGGCATCCTGCATTCGAAGAAGCATGTACAATACGCAAAGATTCAGTGATTTAAACTTGTACAATGCACGCAGAAAACAGATAAGCGGAAATCATAAGCCGACTTTTGGTAGATTATATTTCTTACCAAAATGTTACGTAGAATTTACTGTTAGGAAGCCAGTCTCGATTATATATTGTTCATAAATAATATTAAACTGCTAACACGAAAAGTAAACATTAATAAACAATTCTTTCAAGACGTATTCATTTGCATTATCTATATATCTATATGCACGTCTTGCACAAGTTTTGACAGGATAGTACAGTAATATTGAGACAATGGATGGGCAGTGACTACCGGGTATGTTTTCGCACAGTCCATGCGAAACTCTTGGAAAAATGTATGCTTCGATAAGTTCGATTGGTTTACGTGCAATATTGCAAGTAAAGTTTTCATGTTTAGATTTAATTAACATCTGAATACGAAGACGTTTCTCCTTAAGGGGACCCCTAGCCGCAGTTGGGTGGGTCTGGGAAAACGGGATTACCATGGAAACGATGACCGGATATGTGTTATCCTTATTCTGACTGAGCGCAGAGAGGATTTAGCTATACAATGGTGTGGCGCGATCCTCTCTGGCCTGTGTCTAGACCGAGCTATTCACTAAACAAAGAAAAAACTTTGAAAGCAAAAGCTGAATGACAAAGTTTCTTTGTTTTTGACGTAACCCACATTGTTGTACGTGTTATCAGCTAGAAAGCTTATATACCGAAACATGCTAATAAAAAACTTCAATATCTGATCAACAAAACGCAAAAAACACTTTTCAAAAACTTTTTTTTTCAGTTATTCGGAATGCAGGACGTAGAACAGCCGTGGTGTTTCGGTATATAAGCTTTCTGAAAAATAACTGATTTTATGATGTTGGCTGTGTTTCCATATCATGTTTGGTTCTCAAGTTTTAGATTTTCAAAGTCATGAATTTTGTGTTATTCAAAACTGCAACCAAAGAATGGGCTGTTCGGCAGACAGGCTGCTTATCGTGGCTGATCCGGCTGGCCATGCGCGCGCTTTTAGCACACAAAGAGGTCAGGCAGACCACTCAGGAGAGACAGAAACTCACTGTGCTCAGTCAACACTGGCTTGGACATACCATCTGACCGCCTGCCTGCCGCAGGTGTATGTGGCCATGGCCAGCCGGCTACAGCAATCAGTTTACTCGATGAGCGCTTACCCGGTCTTGGTTTTTAAACTGCAACTTAAAGGAAGTTTTACTAATTATGTTTTGCAATACATCATCATAAAGATAAAAGATTCTCTACAAGGGCATATAAAACTTGGCAACTTTATGAAAGCGGCCAAATTAAAAACGCAGCGGCTAGTGGTCCCCTTAAAAGCAGCATCGTGTTTTACAAATCCTCGAGTGTTGTATGGTACAAAGCATTACCCTCTTCAAGTATTATGCAATTTCATAACCATGCTTGCTGACGAAGTGTAGAGGAAAGACCAATCTCATCATGTTATTTTTTACTAATCATCAAGGGAACAGCAACAGTTTTTCAGCATCCCGCATCTTAAGCATCGCCCAGAAAACTTGTTTTTTTTACCTTTACTGAAACATTGTCCAGTTGTATTAGTATAACAAAACGCTCATGCAGTTTTTGGTATCTTGGCGGGCGCTTCCATAAGCTGGAAATGCGACAGGACTATATTATTATAAATTAGAATAATAATTCTGTAAATTGAGCACGTAGCGGTCCATGAATTCCAAGACTGCGAAAGAAGTTACTGACTGCAATAACTTAAAAATAGAATAAAAGCTAGATATGAAATAGCTAACAAGTTAGTACTCTAATCGCTTCAAACGTACCTGCATCGATGTGAACATTTTATGTCCGCGTTTTGCGGCTTCGTCCGTCATGATTAGCGCTTCCGTTAACAGGCCTGCGCAGCTGTATTACCGTGTTGATTACCGTGTTGCGGATCCCCGGCAGAGGTAATAAAACAAGTCCCTCTACTAAGGTGCCCACTCGCACTCCGTAAAACTGGCAAGAACGTACACCAACGGGCTTCTTGGATGTAATTCACTGGGCTTCTTTACCCGCTGTATAAGCTGCTTTGCAAACCCAAATACAGCGTTTCCGGTGCAGCATCGATCAATGTAAACCATAAGCAGAGACCGATCGATGTATCCAGACAGCGGCAGACGCAGCACCTTCAAATTTCGTCCAGGTGTGCCTGTCGGTTGAATGTACAAATACACACACATACTATAGACCCGCATCGAACCAGCGGAAAGCCGGTATACATTGATATCTAATGAGTCAGCAATTTTTGGCCGGATGCCGGTTGCTTTAGTTTCTTTTAGCGACGTTGGAGCTTTTTGTTGATTTTCCGTACTCACTAATGCGCACACTTTCCACACTACTTTCAATTAGCGCACGTCATTCTAATGCTGCAGCTAATTTTAACATTCCGTAATAAGAATTATTAGTGTTTGCTTTTTGAATAAGTACGCATGTACGTTCCAGTTTTTGCGGATCCCGTGACAAGCAAAACACACTGCTATAGCACACAACGCACGAGTGTATTGTACAGAGTACATGTAAAGTTTCGAGAGTTTTCTTGACGACATAATTAAGTAAGTCAACATTTTAGAGTGCAGGCCACAGAAAAACTGACGTTTCAAGGGCGCAGAATAAAACTCGTACTGTGCAATTGTAATTACTGTTACAGTATTTATACGACGCATATATTAAGCGGTCGTGATACTGACAAACACGACTGCAAACTTAAAAAGCTTTTCATTCGCACACAGCATGATCACAGTAAATGGCAGCCGAATTCACAAGACAGCTGTAATATTAAACAATAATAAGTAACTATTTAAATATTTCTTGTATATTATGTAACTTCATTAATTTAACTGCGTTGCTAAATTTGATTATAAATGAACCTGGCATCTAGCGTAACCGCTGCAGCAGTTACCATTTGGTATGGACTTTCGGGATTAGCGGAATGTAGCCGGGATTTTGATGATCAGTTAGTGGAAGAATGCATCCTGCCGCCGTATATTCGCAATCAGTATTACAGCCGGGAAAACGGTCTGAATACGCTGACCGTTGTGGCGGCTTCGTCTTTCGAGCGGAAAACGGTGGTGTCCATTGCCAGTGCCATCGTTGACACGTCGGCGATGGAAGACACGACCACCAGCGAAGTCTGCGTGAAAATGACCTGCAATCGGCCCAGCAAGGTCACACGTAAATGCCAGATACTGGCAGAAAACGGACAAACAGTTTACGACAGCGATATGTATCGCCTTCTGATAAAAGACACGTTAGTCATAAGATTTAACAATTAATTTCATTAACAGATTTTTTTTGTTAACAATTGTAAATCTTGACGTACGTACAGTACAGAGTAAATAGTAGTGTTGGGTAGTAAAAGTCCTTGCCAATATACTTATTTTTACTATCTGCTTTTGAAAGTTTACTTATTTTTACTTACTATTCAAAATTTTTCGGGACTTTTACTTACTTTTACTTACTGTTTCAATTTTTTCAAGGACATTTACTTACTAAATTAAAGTAAATATACTAAATAAATGTAATTTAGCACTGAAAATTTCGACTTGCGTTAGCTTCAGAGCGCAACAGAATACTGAAAATAGTGCAGATAAATTTTTTTGCATTAATCCAGCTACACAGTAACACAGGTGGACACTGAAAAGTAAGTACTGCTGCTTTTGAGGGCGGCAGGCTGGCAGCCGACTACTGCGCACACTCACTTTACCTGCGAGTGGAGGGTTACCTACTCTGTAGTTTGTCCCCTTTCGATCGTGTAAATGTATCTTATTCTTGCGCAGTACCAAAGATTGCTTCCGGTGCCGTGAGCTGGCTATCCGAACCATTAACGTCCTGGAATTTCGTCAGAGTGCGTACAAATGAGCCCAATATTATCAAGCGCTATTAGGTATTTTAAATATTTAGTCAAAATAAATTAATTATGCTCACAAAAATTCGCTAAGGTGCTTTAGAAATCTGCGTTACACCAAAAGCATTAATTAAGGTTATACTGCAAATTGCAGTCTGCAATTAAATACAGGCAAAAGTTTTAGTGCATGTATCCCATTTTGGAAGATATTGTACCCGGGCATTTTCCTTAAAAAGGCTTTCGTATAAAAGTTATTTATATAGAACAATTGACTTAGACTTGTCCCATGCACTGGAGTACTTGTACTGGTAATTGCTTAATCTTTTGCAGTTGTCAAAAGCGTTCCTTTTACTTTTCTAATGGCCGAGCAGGAGGCGAAGAGAAACGGTTGTGTAAAGCTTGATGAACCCAAGATTACGCGCGCTTCCATATACAGTATGCCAAATCTTTAATGAAGGCCATTATGGAAGATTACGCGCGCTTCCACATATGCCAAATCTTTAATGAAGGCCATTATGGACCACGAAAACCTTGCCATTGCGTACAATCACAAGCAGAAGGGTGTCGGTCTGGCTAAGGTCCTGGGGAAAAACAACTGGCTCGCATTCTGGAGTAAGAATAAAGCCTACACAAATATACATAAATCATAATAAAAAAATTGTCATTGTACAGTAGAGCACTGCATATTTTAACGAGTGTGAAAATTTGGCTGATTTCGCATTTATCAAACTGTATATTCTGTTTATTTAACCGTGTGCCGCTTTTTATAGATCACGTGAAATTGCATCAGCGACGAATGATCAAAAAGGACCCGGCATCCCGATGGACTGAGACATTAGACGTGGAAAAGCTCCAGGGAAAGATGCGGAAAAGCTATAGCGACCGCATTCGCACTTTTGCGGAAATGGAGAAGCTGTTTTCTTAAGGTTTTAGACTTCGGGCTTTGGACACGTGTGTTTTACAATATACAGCCGACTGCGACATTTCATTTATTTTAATTTCATGTATCATAATGTGCTGCGTGGTTTTATTTTGGCATTGCAGTGGAGCGGTTGTGTTCTTGTTTTGGAAGAGTGAATTTTTTTTTAACAGTGTACTTGTGTTCAGTATGCAGCGTTAATTTTGTTTCCGTTTAGGTTATTATTTGTCAATTGTTTCATTATTGCTCTTGATTAACAAAATTCGAGCCAATTAGATTTGCGCTGATACCGTTGCAACGTCCAAAATTGTGTATAATAACATGATTCGCTACGTATACAGCAACCGATAAATATAATTATATTCTAATGATTTCGCAGTAATTATTGGCAGTGACCTGATATACGAAACACACATTCCATCGTTAAAAAGTTCATTTTTGCACCAGTACTTACAAAATATGTCCTAAAAAGCTAAAAGTTGTCGTTTAGCGGACAAATTTATGTCTTACAGGATAAAAACGTAACGATTTAAGGGGTATTGTCAATCACACGTATCACGTGTCACCAAACGTCCGAAAAAAATTGCTGAAAAAACTATCATTGACACAAAAACTTTTAATAGGGAAATACAGGTCGATCGCACCAAGTGTGGGCAGTTGAGTAAAATAATTTGAAAAAAATTCTGTAAACAATTTTGTTGTTTACTTTCATTTTAGTTAGTGCAAATTTTTATTGCGGATCCAGTGATGTCAAAGCTGAAATCCGTTGATGCGTCCGGAACGAGTAGGGCGGGGCTTTATAGCAGAGGGTAGGGGTCAGTTTTCTAATGATTACATCCGCCCCTCTCAAAATTCAGTATTTGATGTTTTTCTACAACCTTTTTGTAAACCATGGAGTGCCTTTAAAGGAATTCGTTAAGGGTTAGCAAAAGATTCTGGAGCGCACAGTGTCACCCATAGACTTATATGTCAGAAAAGCTACCATCCGAAGAATGTGGTTGCTTAGAGCGCGGATCGCGTTGGGCCATACGTTATTGATTCAAAGGAAGTGAGAAGAGGACCACTAGAAAACCACATTATTCTTTATTCTCACGCATCCAAAATTTTTAAAAAAATTATTGACTGGACATGAAAATATCCTATTAAGCAATGCGAGTTTTGGAGAAATTTTGAAAGTAAAAATTCTGCTCCCGCTCGTTGCGTATTAACTTCTACCGCAGAAATATGACTAAAAAAGTTTCTCTAGAACAAGAACTATCATAAAAAAATATGAAAACGATTTTGTCGTTCAACCGTAGCAAAGGGGAATATTTTGTTACTGCCCACACTTGGTGCGACCGACCTGTAAATAAATAAACTGAGTGCTGCACATAAATACTTCGCTTTTTCTCCTGTTCCGGTCACTTTGAGTGTAGGGTTTCATATTCCAGTCACCAGGTAGTTAAATTTCCTGACAAAACAAAAGTTCACAGAGATATTATTAATAACACCAATAACAGAAACTCTGAATCGGGTGAGACGCAGAACACTGCGCCTTTCCTTCAACAAATGGAATTTAATGGGGGTGTTTCTGAAAGGTGGTCACCACGGTCGTGGTCGTGGTTGTTGTGGGCGTGGTCGTGGGGGTTTTTTTTATTGTTTTTAGAGTTCTCAATTAATGTACTTATTACTTAGCTGCCTGGAGAGATAAAATAGTAAAACATAAAACTATGTAGCGCCACCTACCTGGATGTAAAGCAGCGGTATCTAGTTCTACACGGTACAGGTAGTCATACGAATAGCGATATAAGCTGGAATAAAACCCGGCATTCTTCAAACATGAAAATGTTTATATCTATGTTTATTTACTGGGCTCAAACCAGTCTACCCGAACCGTTTTCCAGTACTGCTGCCGTCACCCGGCTGGAGTTTACGTTATAACGAAGCATGATGCTTATTTAACTCGCCTGATTTAACCGCATGTAGGTGACGGCAGCACTCAAGCAGTGCCGTGAATTGGTTTCCAATGGTTTCCCCCTATAAAGATTTATTAATCGCTACGTCTTTATTCAAATCAAATTAGCTCCTAATTCGATACTTAATTTTCGAAGTGATTTTCATTTTTAAAAAAATACTTTATCAAATGCACTTCGCCAAAAGTGGTTGCGATGGTTTTGATGGATTCAAAAAGCATTTTTAATTTATTAGTTCTAGAAAGTTCTTTTATTAGTTCTAGAAAGGTCACTAATAAAAGCTTTCTCTTTGCAGTACAGATAATTAATGTGCTTTGCTTCCTCTTTTGGAATATTTGAATATACTTTATTTTGGAATGCAGATTCCTACAATTTTTAAAAATTGTAGAGCCTTTCGGTATAGGTGTATATTTAGCGTAACGGGGTCAATACCTCTCTAATTAGTATTTCTACGTCTTCAGATCATACGACAAGACATATTTCT